CTTAAACAGATGTCTGGGAAAGCCATATCTATAGCGCTGTCTGAGCCAGACACCAGCAGCTCTCGTTCCTGCCAAGAGCACAGATAACGAACGTCCTTCTCTTTACATTCATCTCTCCCTCATGCATGATCCCTATTCACACAGAAGCCTTTAACCTGCATTAATGAGGCATTCAGCAGCACACTTAATTACATCCACGTTCCAGCCACCAATTGCATATTAATAATCTCCCTGTTTGCGTGCACCCTGAACAGGAGGTCAAAAGGTCAGTGGGATTATGAGGTCGGGGGGATTGTGCCTGGTTTAGGATCAATAACGGGATTTGTGCAAAGAGCTAGGCTTCGGTTTCAAAGGATGGGGGATTTTGGTTTTTCAGAAAGGATCTTGTCTTTGCGAGTGAGACAGTTCCTTTCTGATTATTGCATATGTATCCATAACCGCAGTTCAGCTCATTAGCTTCCATTTTATAAAGCCTAATAGACCTTAGTCAGGTAGATGGCGTATTTTCACTTGGTGGAAATAAAAACAAGGCTGATGGATGTCGCTTACAAGCTAAAGTCAAAAAAGACTACAGTCCTAGGCTCACACTGCTTCTTAAAGGAGTCCTATAAGGATTTTTTTACATTTTCAACCTTCATTAGTGTGATGTTGCTGTTTGAGCATGAAAAAGGTCTGCAAATTTACAAAGCACAAAGTCACTCCAAGCGTAAGGGAGTTTTTCTCTGTATCAGTAAGCAAGCACTGTTTTTAAACTCGCGGAAATGCCTCCATTCCTTCTGGCCCAAGCTATACATTAAAAAGAGGCGGGGCCTGGTTGAGTTGAGTCAGTAGTGTTGAAACTTGCGGTTATGGAAAGGCGCGTGACCTTTTCGAAACACACTCGAAGCACTTGACCAATCACAACACATGGATCCAGCCGACCAATCAGAGCACACTCCTCTTTGGTCAGGAACTAAACAGAGCGTTACTGACAGACTGGGAAGAGAGGTGCTGCAAAAATGTAAAATATGTGAAAAATGTATGTGTTCTTTAAAGGGCCGAGCCAAAAACAAACCCCACAAGCAAAATCAAGACTTTGGAAAAGGGAACAATAGGTCCCCTTTAAACTTCACAGGAAAACCTAAATGCCAGAACATTGGAATAAATGTTTATGTTTTCCACTAGCTAATCCCAAAGAAGCTGTGTGTTATGCATGTTCCAGACCCAGCATGCTCCCCCATCTGGAGCCTGAGTCATGATAGAAATGGGATATTGTGTCCTGGCCTCCCTGCGGGTCTTTCTGAATCCCTGTGTCAACTCTTTTGGGGGCGTGGCCCCAAGGCAATTACATGTGATGAGGTGTTGAGGAGTCCCGTCCACTCAGATCCCTTGGCTCAGGTCATTACAGAATATTTTCTATAATGGAGGAATGGCTCGCTGCACTTCCACAACAACCTGCAAATCCCACAGGGAATCACGCAGGGTGGCCACTTACCCTGGACGCCACTTCCACACAGCACTAACCCCCATCTCCTGCTCCACTCTCCCAGGGGCATTGGATACTATAGAAAACAATGGCTAGCCCCAGGCCAAACACATACACATCCATGAAAACACACACCAGAACCTCCCAGTCAAAGCTCTTCTGGGCTCACTGAGCATTCAAGGGCACTTTAGACAGCACCCCTCTGGTGGCTCTGTTCCCAAATCATTCACTTTTCACTGGGTTCATCTCAGAAAAAGAAATGTCTCACCAAAAATCAAGTGATATTAAACACCGCATAAAGAAAATGGGTCACACTTTAGATTAGGGTCCAACTATCACCATTAACTAACTATTAACTATGACTTTTGCCTTAATAAACTCGTAGTTACTGCTTATTAATAGTTAGTAGTTGTTAAGTTAAGGTATTGGGTAGGATTAAAGGATGTAAAACATCATGGTCATGCAGAATAAGGCATAAATATTATAAGTACTAATGAACAGTCAATATCCTAGTAATATGCATGATAATAAGCAACTTTAAATCATTTTAATTTAAATAAAGTATTTGTTTTACAGACATTGTTCTGCACTATGAGAATTTGGAGGGAGGAAATGTGCATATCTGTTATTATTTATACATTATAGTTTATTTAGCATTTTAATTAATATGCACTTATTGTATATAATATTTACTCAAACTTCCCAATTCACACAAAATGTAGTATATTTTTATTCTTGTTTCTTATATTTTATTTTCATACTTTTCATTATAGGATTAATTACGATCCATGTTCTTGAAATTCATAGAAATATGACTAGAGCATGAAAAACAGTTATTCACACATAAATCTAAGTTTAAAGCATTTAAGTAAAAGAACATTTAGACGTGCATCGTCATGTCTGACAGAAAACATATCAGCTTCAACGATGGTGTGGATTTTTTTTTTAATCAAATGAGGGGGCAGAGGTTTTTTTTTTAGCAATTCTAAAAAAAAATGGCAAAACTAGGCAGTCTGATTCATAGAAAATATCCACAGAAGCTTAAATAGTTTTAAAAGTTAGTCATATTCCACCCTCGATCTATTTCAGGTTGCAGTTAATCACATTTGTCTTGCGAAATGAAGACAGCAAAGGAAGAAACGCTCAAAAAAGGTTCCGACAAAAATGTGGGTATTTCCACCCATTCAGCGTCTGCGTCTGTTTCCTCAAATGCCACGGCTGTCATAAACAACATTAGGGCAAAAACGATCATCTCATAGTTCCTGTTAGCAGGTAAAAAAAAACCTTGAAAGAGGGCCATTGAGACTCTTACATGACTTTGCCTTGATTTAATTAGCAGTAATTAATCCAATTGAGGGCTAATTGGCGTCTTATTGGAGTAACTGTGGGGGTTCATTCATATTTCATCAGTGGCCAAGAGTCATTCTTCATTACTCTACATAAAAGCACCACTCGCCAGCCTCCAATTAAACACTAAAACATGGATTTTGTTTCTGGAAAAAAGATCAAAAGCAAAAGTACGAAGCCACTGGATATAAAATCCAAAATCCCTGTTGGGATGAGAGTCCCACTTTAAAGTAACGGACGGAGCGAAACGACAAAATCTTTAGAGAAATCCCTATAACACAAGACAAGATACATGAAGAGAAAACATTTGGTTTCAACATCTCTAACAAGCATTATTTGCCCACAGATTTGGGTCTCATTGCTCAGCTTTGAACGCATTTATCACACTGATGAATTCCTTCAACCAGCTGGCAAATAACCAACAGGACACAGATAGCCTGGTGACTACATAAACATGATAACCAACCTCCCTTAAGACACAATCTGACATATCAGATTAAAATCAAATGAGCATCATCACTCAAGAGAATCAAATGGCATGAAATGACAGAGAGAGTCCAATCATGTTACAGCTTCTCTGGAGTTGTATCCTGCACAGTTTCAAAGCACAGATAGACTGATACCAATACTTTATTTCACTTAATCAGTTAAAGAATCGCTCAATCCATAAATGCAAACACCTGACTTGATTCTTAATGCATACCCATTTAAGCTTAGCTTACAAAGAGAAAGAAAATAATGTATACTCCATCCTTTCCTTCCAACAACAACATGAAGTGCATTAAATATTATATTAGCCTATGTCAAGGTTTCCCAGACTGGGGTTCACGGTGGAACTGCAGGGGGTTTGTGAGTTTAATGAAAAGCTAATTAAATCACACAATTTGTTTTAAATATAACAAATCAAAGTAAAACATTAAAAAAAAAAAATATATATATATATATATATATATATATAAATTTGTTTACGTGCATGTCATGTGACCATTAGAACCACAAACTGAATTATAATATAATTTTATTATTGACTTCATTTTATTATTAACTTAAAATCTAAGGGTGTACTTCAGGAAAATATATTAGGCCAAAGAGGTTCAGCGGACAAATAAAAAGTTGTTAAATCCCTGCATTGCATGTAAATATGAAATGACATGAATTTGTACATTTTAATGTGTTTGAAAGACAGAAGCCTTCCAAAGACAGTAATAGGTGGTTAAATGACTCACTGAGTGAGAATTAAAATAATAATCAATGTGTTTGTCGGGAGCTGATTAGATGCAATGTTGAGAAAACACTCAAAAGATTTCTGTAAATCCAGTGATTAAAAACTGTGTGGGTCTCAGTTTTCAGTGACAATTTGAAAGAAAAAAAGAGGAGAGAATCAATGGGATAAAAGGGAGAATCAATGATTTTATCTGCCATTGTGAGAATAAAATATAGTCATGTAATCAAAAAAAGTAACTGTATTAACTGATTACGAGCATTTTAAAACTTAATTTAATCGTACATTTTTTACAATCTATTAATGTTTTTAATCTGATTACGTAATCCAGATTACATGTCATCAGTTATACCCAGCACTGAATGCAACCTATACTTCCCTTTAACTATCTTCATCAAGATTGGCAATGGTCCAATACCTTACTTGACCTAATCTCACCAAATATCACCAATACAGTGAGCACGCATTATTTTCAACTGAGATATGCTAGATAAAACGCAGAAATCTCAGCAGAGCAATAGTTCACGAAACTCAAATCATGCTGGCATGAATGTCACACATAATTCATTTCACATATGTTCTCATTTGAATGACAACACAGACAACACATTCACATTCTCACAGTTGTTGTATTGCACTCACAAGAGTCTGAATTGTTAAATAGAAGAGTGAATCGTTAAATCTAGCAGAGGAAATGCAATAGATACAGGACATGACTACTGTATGATCAAATGCGTTCATTTCCACTCAACAACACACTGCGTTAAACAACATAAACTCAGTTACTCAAAGAAAGTAGCGAAACACTTGTTTCTTTACCAAACATGAATAAATAAAAGCAGTCAACAAAGCACGCAGATTCCGCATCAGAAACAAAAATAAACAAACAGTGTATGTGGTAACGTTACACTGATTCAATAGTAACAGACGCTCAGAGTCGCGTGAAGAATTAAACAGCAAACTTACCGACTCCGTATTTCTCGTGTTCTGTAGGAATCCACATATTCATTGTGTCTGTTTTGAAAAAAGCGTATGAAACAGTGCAATGTACAGTATTGGTGTTAAATCACGCATTTCTCCAGTTTCGCATCATCCTCTCGCGCAGTCATTGTTCAGACCGCTCGAGCGAACTGCGCTGCACGAGATGAGAACGCGGCGGCGCGCTTTTCTATAAACCAGTGCGCGGCCACTGTGGCACTGGGTAGCATGATGGGAAACGTAGTTTCGTGACGTGCGCGGAACACAACAGTAGTGATTAGACCAGAGAGGTTTAATGATTTAAAAGTCATAGGTTTTAGGCATAATTAAATATTTAGTTATGTTATGACCTCTTTTTTTGTATGTAGCCTACATTTTAAATGTGTAAAATGTATTTATTTATTTGTGTTTTTATTTTATGAGAACCATGTTATTTCACCATAATCAGCGAATGAGGTTCCAGACAGTATTTAAGATTTTTACCTTTTTTATTTTGTGTTTTATGAAATATTTTGTTATTTATTACTTTGTAGGCTACATTTGTATTGTATTGAATTGAATTTTAGGGGTTTTGTCATGAACTTTTAAAAAATAATTTAATCTGAATTAAATATTTTTCATACAGCATTCATGTATTAATTTATTTCAAGTTGAAATGTGTATTTTCTGCCAAAAATAAATAGTAAAAATAATTAGTATTTCCAAACAGGTTTACCAAATTTTCCTACCAAACACATTTAAAGACATCAAGCACCTGCATAATTCAAAACATCTTTTTACAGGCTCAGCATCATTTTTTGCCTGCACACATGATGCAAGACAATATGCAAAATAAAATGCATAATGTCTTTTATATCTCCAACCACAAGAGAGGTGTAATCTCACTTATAATACAGACACATATTCAGTCATAACCTTTCACTCATAGAGTATTGTCTGTGTTATGAATGTGTGTGCATGAGAGAGAAAGGGTTCTGGTAAATGAGCACTGAGTCTGATGTAGATTTTATCTGAATTTGCAATCTAATAATCTGCACTAATCCAATGTTGCAACCTACTTCTGTTTCCTGTATGAAAAATCTAAGTGTACAGAGCATCTAGAAATGAGTCAACTGATCTTTTCAGAAAGGCGGTTACATACATTGAGAATGAAATTCAATCTTGCTTGGAAAAAAGAATTGTACTTCGATAACAGCTCAGCGTCTACCACCACATAACAGCTGTTATGGAAAGATGGAAGGATAAAAGGTCATGGTCAGTCAATAACAGTGTTTTTACTGCTGTATGTTCTTTGTCACTGTCAAGGTGGAAATGCCTTCTTTGGTTAAATCAAGCTCACTGTAAACAAAAAAATCAGTTCAATACAAACACAACCCCAGTCACATGTTTATGCAGCAGCCACATAGAAAGGGCAAAATTGAAAACATGAGAAATGCTGGTTAAACCATTGATATGAGACACAAAAACGGAAAAAAGAGAAGAAAATAGGATGAGAGTGAGGATTTGGCTTTGTGTGAGGTGTTAGACAAAACATCAGGACTTTTAATTTTTTTTTTTTACATTTACAAATTATAAATGAGTAAAATATTATTTGGAAAATATTTAGTTTATTACTTTATATTATTGTGTATTTTATACTCACTATTGTAGGTGTATTATTTAGTCAAATACTTTATTTAGTTATTTTAAATTATTATTCTCTAAACTTTTCACTTACAATGGTTGAAGGATTCATCGACTCACTCATAAACACAGACACTTATTTTACCCTGAATGAATCATTGCTTCGAACAAATCGGTTGAGTGAATGATTCAATGAGTCTCTTAAAGATGGGCTGCATTCAAAATCAAATACTTCCCAACTATAGTATGCGAAAAACAATACGGCAACAAAGTAGTATGTCCGAATACATAGTTTTTGAAAAACAGGAGAGTGCATTCGATGGACACTTTAATGTCCCATGAAGCCACGGGAGAGGATTTGTGAATGGCAGAAAGCGACGCAACATAACATATAGCGTAGGTCATATGACAGTGACAACATGGCGGATGAAGTATACATCATTTTATTCATTCTTATATTCATACTATATAGAATATACTCTTTTTTCGGCAATCAGTTCACTATTTACATCGGCAATAAGTTTCAAACCAATGTAGAACCTACTATACAGTATGCAAGTTCGGATGGTCACTTGCTTTCATTCTTGAATGAATCAGGGCTTCAGAACAAATAGGTTGATTAAATGATTTAATGCATCACTGATTAAAACTTGCATAGCAATGCAACCAGAGAGACTCGCTGAAAAATGAATCCCAACCACTAATGCACAGACGGACACACACACAGACCAGCAGCTTAGCCAATCAAATACAAGGAGAGAAACTACATGTTGTGTAAAATATAAATGTGCCCCACAGAACAACTGTGACATGATAGTTGTGCCTTGTTTCTGAATCCTCAACGGTCAGAGTTGGACTTAGACCTGCTGTGCATGTATTGGCCGTGTGGACAATGATAAAGTATGTTTCCATTGGTCTGAAAGCAGAGACTGTGCGTCTTTGTCCCAGCCAGAAGAGACCACCATGCAATCCAAGAAACAGGGTCCGACCAGCCGTGCATACTAAACACACGCAGGAGCTTTAAAGTCTGCTCCTGTCCCAGCAGGACTCGCTCTCTCGCGCTGCGATATTACAAGTGTCCTGCACCATAGCCGGATGGTTAAGGCACAATTTAAGATACAATTGCCGTAGATCGCTTAATAGTGCTTGACTGGATGATTACCTTGCTTAAGAAAAGCAGTCGATAAACATGGCACATTGCTGTGTCTTTTTGCCGTCATTGATTTAATTGTATTGTAATGGGGAATGAAAGGTTGGTTACTAATGTTTGCTTTGATGGGATAAACCAGTAATATCCTCAATGCCATTATCTCAGTGGGTAAAGGGAACAAATAAATAATACAAAAAGGAAAAAAATATATAAACAAAGAAATCACCATTGCCATTATTTCTGTCACAGAATAAATAAATAATATGAGACTAAACAAACAAACAAATATTTAAATATTTATAGTTATATTAATTATAATAGTTCAAGTCACCAGTGAACACTTAATTGCCATTATTTCAGTGTCAATCAACCAATCAGTCAGTCAACCAACCAACCAATCAACCAATCGATCAATCAATCATGCAGATGAGAAAGAAATAACAGCTAACATAACATTTCAATGCACATTTACGCATATTTATTTAGTAGCACTGAAATAATGGCACTCTGAACTCTGAAACGGATACTGTGATGTAAACACTCTTCCATTGGACTGAAAATGGTATGTGATGTGTGCAGCCCTTTGTTAAGCTGTGAGATCTGAAACCTGGAAGATCTCCAGTTCTCTTTAGTTCTCCAGGATCATGAGCATGAGGCCGTGTAAGGAGGATGAGAGGAGTAGCTATCTTTGTTCTTTCCTCCTTTCATGCATCCATGAACACATGTGGCGAACATGCCAGAGACCTTCAGCACATCTGAAGCACACCATGTAAAATCTCATCTTAGAGGAACTTCGATTTTATGTCTATAAAGGGTTTATTTTTCAACTTAGCACAGCATTACCATGTTTTTGGACAGACATGTTGATAGTGACAGAGACTGCGGTCTTTTGTGTCCTTGTTACGTTTCCCAAGCCGGAAACGGCAGTTTGAGTCCCGCCCGGAGCAGGACGAGAAGGACCGGAGGGGATACACAAGCACCATGATATCAATAGTTTTAGACATGTACAGTACCATTGTATCACCATGGCTCTTTTGACATTTAGCCTACTATAGTACTACCATGTTTTTTTAGCATGTATGGTATTACCATTTTGTATGGTACTCTGGCGATAGCATGTTTTTCTTAGTAATTTCAGTGCCATGCTATATTTCAAAGTACCATAGTATTACCACAGTGCTTTTTTGATACAGTTACCATGTATGGCAATACCATATTTTTTGGTCATAGTACTAAAATAATACAGCGTGCCATTTAGTCTCTAAATGAGGATCGCAAAATGAAAGACTGAAACCGAAACAGTTTGTTTTTACGTTTCCAAATCTGTATGCACTGTAGACAAAATAATCATTACTAGCTGGTATTTCACTTATTGGTGATTATGAACTACACGAATGAGCATTACAGCCACCTGCAGCCTCTGTAAAACCACAGCACATCCTCGCAAAAGAAAAAGCTCCCCCACACCACTCATTTCTAATCATACCTGTTTAACCAGCCTATCAGTGAATTATAAAGCACGAGCTTCGTCAGTGCAAACAAGTCATTACAAGTCATTAGTCATTATAACTCATAAACAGCTCTATGCTGACAATCCTCACACTCACTGGACTAGTGCCACAAACAGAGACATGCACATCTGTGGTTGGTTACTTAGGCCACATTTACACATATAGCCGGGTATTTAGAGAAACGAATATTTCCCCTCTATCTGCGTCTTCCCTTCGTGTAAACGGGGCTTAATATTTGCTTAGATGCCATTATCTCAGAGGAATAAAGAAACAAACCAACAATAAATCGCCTACATGAAGGAATATATAACTAAGCAAAGAACTAGTAATGACCTAATTTGCATTATTTCAATTTGTAAATAAATAAATACATATTTTAGATAAATGCACTATTACAGTAATGACTTTATTGACAATATATCAATTAAATAAATAAATATTTTTAATAAAGGCACCAGTAATAGTTAAATGCACCATTATTGACTTTATTGTCATATATCAGTTTGTAAATAAATAAATGTGTTTGAGATCGATGCACCATAAATTAATTGATTGCCAATATATCAGTGTGTTAAATAAATGAATAAATTGTTATTTGAGGCATGTAAACATAAAATGGGAAGCAAATAATGGGTATGCAGAAGAAAAAGCACAAGTATATTCTAACAAATCTCTAACAAAATCATGGCATATTTTGACATGTCAACATCAGTGTCAAAGGTTATTTGCAGTGGAATTGAGAATCTGTCACTCTGCCTTTTCCAGAGAGTGCGATACTGCATGCTTTGAGTAATTGGTGAGAATAAGCTAGGCTGAGTAGGAGGAAGTAGGAGGTTTTCTCCAAAAATATTGACTGTCTGGCATGTCCAAACATGCACTTTATTTTTTGAGTGTTGA